TCTATCCACTGAGCCAAACCAGTCAGGGCCTACAAAGTTATTTTTGTGTGTTTTCCAAAGTGGGGTTCAATCTCTCCCCACTTCCAGCGTGGATATCTGATTGTTCCTGAGCTGTTTTTGAAAAAGACATCCCTACCCTCCTCTCCTGTGTCATCATGTCTCTATCTGTATGTGAGTCTGTCTGTTCATAGGCATTTCATTTTGTTCTTTGGCTCACTTGTCTATTGTGCTAATATGGTAGTGTCATAATTAAAGTGACTTGAAGCCCTCATAGCTGATAGAGCAACTCTTTCAACTGTTTTTAAAAAAAATATTCTTATTGAATTCAGAGAGGATGGGAGAGTTAGAGAGAGAAATATCAATGATGAGAGAGAATCATTGATCGGCTGCCTCCTGCACACTCCATCCTGGGGATGGAGCCTGCAACCTGGGTATGTGCCCTTGACCGGAATTGAACCTGGGACCCTTCAGTCTGCAGGCCAGTGCACTATGCACTGAGCCAAACCAGCTACAGCTAGGGCTCACCTGTTTTTAAAGATGTTTATAGCTGTCAGTTAGGGATTTTGATTGGGATTTCATCGGGTCTTTATATACATTTGGGGGACATGACATCTTTAAACTGTTTGGTTTTCTGAGTCATCTTCACAGTCCATCTTTCCGTTTATTTAATTAAGACTATTAAAGTTTTTTCTCAATATTTCATGCTTTCAAGGGAAACAGTGCCCAGACCCTCTCCGTCCACATGTTCTGCTCTGTGTCAGTGATTTTCCTGTCGCTCACCTGCTCCTGAGGCCTGGTGCGGGCACGGATGTCACTTCCCAGGTCTCCTATGACACGCACCCCACTTACCCTCCAGGATCGATTCTGGCCAAGGACATGTACCTCGGTTGCAGGGTCCTCCCTGGCCCAGGCTCTGGTCAGGGCACGTGCAGGAGGCAAGGAATCGATGTGTTTCTCTCACATGGATGTTTCTCTCTGTCCTTCCCTCTCTCTTCCACTCTCCCTAAAAATCAATGGAAAACTATCCACAGGTGAGGATAAATAAATAAATAAATAAAGGGACACTAGCGATCCTGTGGCCTTGTGTGAGGTGAGTGCTCAGAGCAGTGTAGCATCAGGGCCCAGAGGAAGTGCACCACCCGTGGGATTCTCTCCTCTGTCCACAGGCCTGACTCCCCAGGAGCAATAGAACCATGTGAAGCAGGAGGAGGCTGTGGGGTTGGGTGTCAGCATTTCCGTGACACCCCTGACTGCAGACGGATTTCTCTACAGAAATACAGAGCAGACCCCGAACACACCAAGGCAGGGCCTCGCCCTTGCAGCTCTTTTCAGAGAACAGAAGGAAATGCTCCAGGCTCAGGTGATTGGGTTTGTTTAATCCTTTCCATTCTTCATTAAAGTATTTGTAGAAACCTATAAAACCCACCTCCGTTAATCTGAAAAGTATATATATACGTATATATCTCTTGTCTCTCAAATATGTGAATATGGCCCTGGCCGGTGTGGTTCAGTTGGTTGGGCAGCATCCCGTGCACAGAAAGGTTGCCGGTTCGATTCACAGTCGGGGCACATGCCCAGATTTCAGTTTGGATCTTCAGAAGGGCAGGTGCAAGAGGCAGTGGATCTATGTATTTTTCTCACATCGATGTTTCTCTCTCTCCCTCTCCCTTTCTCTTGGTCTAAAAATCAATAAAAAAAATATTTTTTTTTAAATATATTTATTGATTTTTTACAAAGAGGAAGGGAGAGAGATAGAGAGTTAGAAACATCGATGAGAGAGAAACATCGATCAGCTGCCTCCTGCACACTCCCTACTGGAGA